TGACATGTGAGGTGTTCATGGATTACAAGAGTCTTCAGTATTTGTTCAAGCAAAAGGAGTTGAATTTGAGGTAGAGGAGGTGGTGGGAGTTGTTGAAGCATTATGATATCACTATCTTATATCACCTGGGAAAGGCCAATGTGGTGGCCGATGCCTTGAGTAGGAAGTCAACCAGTATGGGCAGCCTTGCTTATATTTCGGTCGGTGAGGCGCCGCTTGCTTTGGATGTTCGGGACCTGGCCAATCGGTTCGTGAGGTTGGATATTTTTGAGCCTAGTCGGGTATTAGCTTGCATGGTTGCTCTTCATCTTTATTGGAGCGTATCCATGATCGGCAGTATGATGAACCCCGTTTGTGTGTCCTTAGAGACACGGTGCAGCGCGGAGGTGCCAAGCAGGTTACCTTAGATGATGATGGAGTTTTGAGATTGCAGGGTCGAGTTTGTGTGCCTAATGTGGATGGACTCCGAGAGTCGATCTTATAGGAGGCCCATAGTTCCCGGTACTCTATTTATCCGGGCACCGCGAAGATGTATCAGGATTTTCGGCAGCATTATTGGTGGCGTAGAATGAAGAAGGATAACGTTGCATATGTAGCTCGTTTTTTGAATTGTCAGCAGGTTAAGTACGAGCATTAGAGGCCTGGTGGGTTATTTTAGAAGATTGTGCTTCCGGAGTGGAAGTGGGAGCGGATCACTCTGGATTTTGTTATTGGACTCCCGCAGACTCGGAGAAAGTTCAACGCAGTATGGGTCATTGTTGATAGGCTGACCAAGTCAGCGCATTTCATTCCTATGGCAGTCTCCTATTCATCATAGAGGTTAGCTAAGATCTATATCCGGGATATTGTTTGTCTTCATGGTGTGCCTGTATCTATCATTTCGGACCGAGGTACGCAATTTACCTCGCATTTCTGGAGAGCAGTTCAGTGAGAGTTGGGCACCCAAGTTTAGTTGAGTACAACATTTCATCCTCAGATGGATGGGCAGTCCGTGCGGACTATTCAGATTTTGAAGGATATGCTACGAGCTTGTGTCATCGACTTTGGAGGCTCGTGGGATCAATGTTTGCCTTTAGTAGAGTTTGCCTACAACAACAGGTACCAGTCGAGTATCCAGATGGCTCCTTACGAGGCTTTATGTGGTAGGAGGTGTCGATCTCCGGTTGGATGGTTTGAGCCAGGAGAGGCTCGATTATTGGGTACGGATCTTGTTTAGGAGGTTTCGGACAAGGTCAGGATTATTCAGGATAGGCTTTGTACAACACAGTCCAGGCAAAAGAGTTATGCAGACCGCAAGGTTCGAGATTTAGCATTCATGGTAGGTGAGTGAGTATTGCTTCGAGTGTCGCCTATGAAGGGCGTGATGAGATTTGGGAAGAATGGCAAACTTAGCCCTAGGTTCATTGGTCCGTTTGAGATTCTTGATTGAGTGGGAAAGGTGGCTTATAGACTTTTATGCACTACCGCCGAGTTTATCAACCGTATATCCATTGTTTCATGTGTCCATGCTTTGGAAATATTACGGCGATCCATCCCATGTGTTAGACTTCAGCACTATCCAGTTGGACAAGGACTTGTCTTATGAGGAGGAGATGGTAGCTATTCTAGACCGACAGGTTTGTCAGTTGAGGTCGAAGAGTTTTCCTTCTATTCGTGTTCAGTGGAGAGGTTAGCCTCCTAAGGCATCAACCTGGAGTCCGAGTCCGATATGCGGAGCCGTTATCCCCATTTTTTCCCCGACTCAGGTACTTCCTTCTTCTATCCGTTTGAGGATGAACGGTTGTTTTAGAGGTGGAGAATGTGATGACCCAAAAGGTCATCACTTGTTTTAAGATGAAACCTCCGTTTTCTGAGGCCTTGAAAACCTCATTTAAAGTCACCTCAATTTACGTGCGCAGTCCGGCGCATAGCCGGAAAGCTTAAATATGATAATCTGTGAAAAACGATCAGTTTTGATTATAGAATGAGATAATTTGACTTTGATCAACTTTTTAGGAAAATGGACCCGGACCCGTGATTTGACGGTTCGGGAGGGTCCGTAGGAAAATATGGGACTTNCCGGAATCAAATTCTGAGGTCCCGATCCCGACAAATGAATTTTCAAAGAAAATTATTTTCTGAAATTGTTTAAAGAAATTTGAGATGAAGTTTGATTAGAAAGAGATGGTATGGGTCCTGTATTTTGGTTCCGGCACCCGGTACAGGTCTTATATATGGTTTAAGTTATTTCTGTGTAGTTTGGTTGAAAACGGACGTCATTTGATGTGATTCAGACCTAAATTGCTAAATTTGATACTTGATGAAGTTTGAGAATAAAAAAGTTCTTTATTTTGAGGTTGATTCATTGTTATTGAGGTTATTTTGGCGATTTGATCGCACGGATAAGTTCGTTTGATGTTGTTAAGTTAGTACGTGTGTTTGGTTAGGAGCCCTGAGGGCTCGAGTGTGTTTAGGATATGTTTCGGCAAATTTTGAACTTAGGAAAAAGTTGCAGATTAAGAGAAGTTGCAGGTCTCTGAAGCCAGGTCTCGCAGTCCGCAGTAGAAACTTCGCGGCCGCAGTGGGGACTCTGCGATTGCGGTGGGATTTTTGCGGTCCGCGGTGAGCAAGGCCAAGCCTTCGCGGCCGCGCTTGATTTCTTACGGTTCGGCCATGGTCCATTTCATGCGGTCCGCATAGGGGGCCTGAGAGGGGTATAAATAGACAGGATTTCCAGTTATTTTTATTTTTCAAAACCCCAAAAACCTAAGAGGCATTTTTTCAAACAACCTTTCTTCTCCAAATCAAATGTAATTCGTTTTTAATTAGTTTTCTTCAATCATTAACATCTTTTAACATGATTTCAACTTCAAATCAATGATTTTCATGGAGAAATTGGATGTTTTGGGTAGAACCTAAGTTATTCAAAAATTAGGGATTTGGACCTCGATTTGAGGTCCAATTTCAAAACAAATTATATATTTGAGTTTGTGGGTGAATGGGTAATCGGGTTTAGGTTCGAACCTCGGGTTTTGACCATGTGGGCCCGGGGGCAATTTTGATATTTTGGGTAAAACTTTGGAAAACTCATTTTTCATACATTCAAATTGATTCATTTAGCGTTTATTGATGTAATTAAGTAACTTGTGGCTAGATACGAGCGAATTGGCGGAGGAATCAAGGGGTAAAGCTATAATTGAAGCTTGAGTTATGTTACAGGCATAGAGGTAAGTGTTTGGTCTAACCTTAGCTTGAGAGATTAGGAGTTGTGTCCTATTTGCTATTTGCTTCTTGTTGACTACGACGTATAGTCATGGTGACGAGTATCTATGCGTTGGTGTCAAGCATGACCATGAGTCTTATATTGTGATTTTCATTATCTCGTTGTATTATTCATGCCTTGGCGTAAATTTCTATTTCTTGTGTAAAGTTGTGGAAAGAATTGTGACCTATGAACATTGAGGAGTATAAGTGATAATCGAAACTCTAGGGCATTGGCTCGAGTTGCGAAGTGAATTGTGAAGTAAAGTGAGAAAGAGAAGAGATCATTATGTTGCCCCCTTGCCGGACTATTGTTGAGTTGAGGTTCCCTTGCTTTGTGTTCTTAAATGATATTACGGATGCTTAGGTTGATGATTCTTCGTGTTAGGTGTTGTAACAAGTTTAGTTATAGTTGAGGTAGTTAGATGTTGAAACTAGTTGAGTTATAGTTGAGATAGTTAGATGTTGGAACTAGTTTGGTTATGGTTGTTTCTCCCTTGTCGGGACGTATGTACTTGTACTATTGAGTTTCCTTGCCAGGATAGTGTAGTCTATTGTTGATCATTTGCCGAGATGGTTAATTATTATTATTGTTGACTATATATTCGGAATAGGTTGCACGCCACAATAGATATTATGTTGGATCGAGTTGCACGCCGCAACAGAGATTATATTGGATGAGGTTGCACGCAGCAACATATATTATATTGGATCGGTTTGCACGACGCAACAGATATTATATTGAAATGAGTTGCACGCCATAACAGTTATATATATGGAACGGGTTGCACGCCACAACAATGTTAAATGATAAGGGATCGGGTTGCGCGCCGCAACAGTATTGTAGTTGCATTGATTGTAGACATCGACTGTTCTTTCATACTTTATTAAGTTTCTGATAGAATTGATATGTTTCTCTAAAATATGTTTTCCCCTCCCTTTTAAAACTATTATTACTTGTTTATATTTATGATGTATATTATATAACTGCACAGGTTTATCTGGAGTCGGGTCCTAGCCTCATCACTACCTCGCCGGGGTTAGGCTGGCACTTACCAGCACATGGAGTCGGTTGTGCTGATACTACACTCTACACTCTGTGAATATACCGGAGTAGCCTTTGGTCAGCAGCAGTAGCTCGGGAGCCAGCCTTCAGTCCACTGTGATACCGAGGTAGCCTTGCAGGCGTCCGCAGGCCCGACGTCTCCTCTATCTTATTTTATATTTTGTTATCTCATGTATTCGAGACAAACAGTGTTATATTTCTTTCAAATGGTTGTATTTAGTACTCTTATTAGTCCGTGGATGTTGTGACACCGGGTTCTGGTTAGAGGCACGTGATGGTCTGTGAGACATTTTCGTTTCCTATTTATTTAAGACTTCCGCTAAATTTCATATTCCGCGGTTATTTAACTGTTTATTCCTTTGTTAATATAATTGGTAAGAAGTTTTAAAATAAAGGAGTTAATGATTTCTAAGTTCATGGCTTGCCTAGCTTCTACGAGTAAGCGTCATCACGACTCCCGAGGATAAGGAAATCCGGGTCGTGACATTTACTCACAAAAATTACTAAAAACAAAGTTTACCTTTCTCCCAAAAGTAAAATTCATATTTGGCTCCACATAATGTGTTCAATGAGTCAAGTGAAGTACTTTTCATTGACAAAAAAAAGTTGCTGAAAAATGCATATCTCATATTTTTTTTTTTTAGAGAAATCCCATTTCTTGCCTAAACGAAATGCCTATAAAAGAGCATATATTTGCAACAACAGTTTGCAGAAACTATCAAGTCAAATAATCCCCCCTTTAATTCCCTCCCAAAATGCAGTTCTTCAACTTCTTTTCCCTTTTCCTTTTTGTGTCATTCCTCTTTTTATTTAAGAAATGGAAGAATTCCAATAGCCAAACCAAAAGATTGCCTCCAGGTCCATGGAAATTACCTATTCTTGGAAGCATGCTTCATATGCTAGGTGGACTTCCACATCATGTCCTTAGAGATTTAGCCAAAAAATATGGACCAATTATGCACCTTCAACTAGGCGAAGTTTCTCTAGTTGTTATTAGTTCTCCTGAGATGGCAAAAGAAGTACTAAAAACTCATGACCTCGCTTTTGCAAATAGGCCTTTACTTGTAGCTGCCAAGATTTTTTCTTATAATTGCATGGACATTGCCTTTTCTCCTTATGGCAATTACTGGAGACAAATGCGTAAAATTTGTCTCTTGGAATTGCTCAGTGCCAAAAATGTCAAGTCATTCAACTCAATTAGACAAGATGAAGTTCATCGTATGATTAAATTTTTTCGATCATCTCCTGGTAAGCCAGTTAATGTTACAAAAAGGATTTCACTTTTCACAAACTCTATGACATGTAGATCAGCATTTGGACAAGAATATAAGGAGCAAGACGAATTTGTACAACTAGTCAAAAAAGTGTCAAACTTAATAGAAGGGTTTGATGTGGCTGATATATTCCCTTCACTGAAGTTTCTTCATGTGCTCACTGGAATGAAGGCTAAAGTTATGAATACACACAATGAATTAGATGCCATTCTTGAAAATATCATCAATGAGCACAAGAAGACTTCAAAAGGCGATGGTGAATCAGGAGGTGAAGGTATAATTGGTGTACTGCTAAGACTTATGAAAGAGGGAGGCCTTCAATTTCCAATCACTAACGACAACATCAAAGCTATCATTTCTGTACGTACTATATACTGCATATTTCTATCTTCGTTATTAGTACTCCTTCTATTCTATTTTTTGTGGAACTTGTTTTTATCCTATTCCATAAAGAATGACGTATTTCTATATAAGAAATAATTTAACTTTAAATTTTCTATTTTACCTTTAATGACATATTTTTATAGCCATAGGAATTTCATGGCATATTTAATATCACAAGTTCGAAAATTATTTCTGTGTTTCTTAAACTTTGTATCTAATTATACCGTGCCATATAAAGTGAAATTGATGAAGTATTATGATTTATCTTTAATACTAACGTTCTCAAATTGCATAATTAATTTCTGTACTTAAAGAGTCACTTTAGTTAGCTTTCAATTAGGACAACTAATCTTACTTTCGTCATAAAATTTACACATTTGAAAATTACAACAAATGTTATTTCAATCACCACAACTTGGCATTAGGATAACGAAACAAGTAGCAAAATAACTTGATATTTTTTTTTTTTGGGTTTTTGGCATTGAAAATGTCACGGCCCGGATTTTCCACCATCGGGAGTCGTGATGGCGCATATTAATGTAAGCTAGGCAAGCCAATCCTTAACAGCTTACTTCATTAACAAATCACTTCTTTTAACGATTATCCGTGATAGCATAAAAACAACGGAATTTAATAAATGTACGGAAGACTTAAATTAAAGAAACAGAACAATAATCCGGAAATCAACATATGCTTCTACCCAAGAACTAGTGTCAAATTACTCACGAATTTCTAAGAGTACTAAATATAACCGTTTGAAAGAAAAATATAAACTGTTTGTCTCGAATACATGAGATAACAGACTGAAATAAAGATAGAAGAGACGTTGGGCTTGCGGACGCTTGCAAGGCTACCTCGGTGTCTCACTGGACTGAAAGCTGGCTCCCGCGCTACAGCTGCTATCCAAGACCTGGATCTGTGCAAACGAGCACAAAGTGTAGTATCAGCACAACTGACCCCATGTGCTGGTAAGTGTCTGCCTAACCCTGGTGAGGTAGTGATGAGGCTAGGACTAGACTCCAGATAAACCTGTGCAGTTATATACTATATGGCGGAAAAGTAAACAGGTAATAAGAAATCAAAGCTGGGAAAGGGGAAACATGCTTTGGGGGTAGCAGATAAAACAGAATACCAAAGAATAGTAAGGAAACTACAATTTAGCTTCTAACACGGATAAAGAGAAATAAGGCAACTTTCACTTTCAGTTTCATCTTGTTGCAGGCGTGCAACCCGATCCCATTTCTCATTTTTGTGGTAGGGGTACCACCTGCTCTCAATTCAGTATATCTTGTAGTAGGCGTACCACCCGCTCCCATTTCAGTATATCTTGTGGTAGGCGTACCACCCGCTCCCATTTCATTATATCTTGTGGTAGACGTACGACCCGCTCCCTTTTACATTTCATCACACAATCACAAAAAATCCTGGCAATGGAACATAAATAATGTAATAACTTCCCGGCAAGGGAACACAACAATGTTATAATTTTCCCGGCAAGGGAACAACAATATTTAATTATTCATCCCGGCAAGGGAGAATCAGCTATAACCAACCTCAACTCAACTTGTACTCAGTTCGATTATTGAAAATACTCAATCATAGAAGATCATTAAGTAAAGCACTCAAGTGTCATTTAAGTACACAACAACATTCAATTTAAGACTCATGGTCATGCTTAACACCAACGTATAGATACTCGCCACCATGCCTATACGTCGTACTCAACAAGAAGCAAGTAGCAAGTATGACTCAACTCCTAATCCCTCAAGCTAGGGTTAGACCAAACACTTACCTCGATGCCTTGATCACCACTCAAGTCTCAACTATAGCTTTACCCCTTGATTCCACCACCAATTCGCTCGAATCTAGTCACAAGTTAATTAATTACATTAATAAGTGCTAAATGAATCAACCCCAATGCATGAAAATGAGTTTTCAAATGTTTTACCCAAAAGTCAGAAATCACCCCTAGGCCCACGTGGTCGAAACCCGAGGTTCGGACCAAAACCCGATAACTCATTCCGCCACGAATCCAAATATATAATTTGCTTTGAAATCGAACCTCCAATTGAGGTCCAAATCCCCAATTTTAGAAAACCTAGGTTCTACCCTAAACACTCAATTTTCCCCATGAAATTCTTTGATTTGAAGTTGAAATCATGTTAAAATATGTTAAGGAGTGAAGAAAATGAGTTAGAAATCACTTACCAACGTTTTGGAGATGAAAGATTGTTTGAAAATCGCATCTTATGTTTTGGGGTTTTGAAAAAGTAAAAAATAACTGAGATTCCCGTTAATTTATACCCCTCTCAGATCCCCTGTGCGGATCACATCAAATGGACCATGACTACACAGTCTCCACTGCGGACCGCACAAAGGCGACAGCGGCCGCGCTGGCCCCTCCCTGAAGACCTGCAGTTCAGCACCCTAGGCGGACCGCACAAAGGCGATTGCAGCCGCACAACCTCCACTGAGGACCGCAAAAAGGCGACCACGGCTGCGCTGGCCCCTCCGCGGACCGCACAGCCTCCACCGAGGACCTAAGCCTAAGGCATTCCGGAACCCACTCGAAACTCACCCGAGCCCTCGAAACTCCAACCCAAGTATGCACACAACCTCAAAAATATCCTACGAACATATTCGTGTACTCAAATGACCAAAATAACATCACGAACATCGAATTAAACCTCGAGATCAATAAAATTTCTCAAAACTCTTTTAAACATTAAATTTCTCAATTAAGGTCTGGATCACGTCAAATGACGTCCGTTTTTAACCAAATTTAACAGGAATGACTCAAGTCATATGTGAGACCTGTACCGGGTGCCTGAAATAAAATACGGGCCCGATACCATTACTTTCTAATAAGTTTTCACTTCAAATTTCCTTAAACAATTTTTGAAAATAATTTCACTTAAAAATTTATTTCTCGGGCTAGGGACATCGGATTCCGATTTCGGGCATACGCCCAAGTCCCATATTTTCCTAGGGACCCTCCGGGACCGTCAAATTATGGGTCCGGGTCCGTTTACCCAGAATGTTGACCAAAGTCAAATTTATTCATTTTAAATTCAAGACTTAACATTTTTCACAGAATTTCATATTTAATCTTTCCGGCTACGCGCTTGGACTGCGTACGAAAATCAAAGCAACTTTAAATGAAGTTTTCAAGGCCTCAAAAGCACATAATGGATAAAAAAACAGGTGATGACCCTTTGGGTCGTCATAGAAAATTTATAATTCCTTTTGGTGTAAGAATAAAGGTAGTAGCACAAACGTAGTACAAATATGTTATTTGAATATTTCAGTAGAAATTTGTCAAGAAGTTTGCAAGAGAAGTGAATATTGTAACTTGCTCGAAAATGAAGGACATCTTTGGTGGGGGAACAAAAACTTCATCAACAACAATTAATTGGGCCATGGTCGAAATGATGAAGAATCCAAGTGTATTTTCCAAAGCTCAAGTAGAGGTAAGAGAAATCTTGAGAGGGAAAGAAACTTTTGATGAAATTGATGTCGAGGAGTTCAAATACCTAAAGATGGTCATTAAAGAAACTTTCAGACTCCATCCTCCAGTACCTCTTTTGCTTCCAAGAGAATGTAGAGAAGAAACGGACTTAAACGGCTACACTATTCCATTTAAAACAAAAGTCGTGGTTAATGTTTGGGCAATGGGAAGAGATCCAAAATATTGGGATGACGTAGAAGCTTTAAACCTGAGAGATTTGAACACAACTCTATGGATTATATTGGTAATAATTATGAATATCTTCCCTTTGGTAGTGGAAGGAGAATTTGCCCTGGAATATCATTTGGTTTAGCAAATGTTTATTTTCCACTAGCTCAATTATTGTATCACTTTGACTGAAAACTCCCAACTGTAATCAATCCAAGTGAACTGGACTTGACTGAGGCGGCTGGAGCAGCTTGTGCCAGAAAGAATGACCTACACGTGATCGCAACTGCTTATCAACATTGTGAAGAGTGATCTCATGGCGTCAAACCTTTTCTTAAAAGAAGAATCTTTGCAACTGAATTTCGTTGGCAACCCCACCATTGTACTTTCTTCCGTTGGTGTTTATTATTTATAATATTTGTGTCCTTTTTCATATATAGATATATCATTATAGCTTTCCACGCAAGCTGTCAAATAAGACTTTCTGTTGTTTTTATATTTTGCAATGTAGTGACATGCTATCCGTGTGAACTAAATATACTACTTACATCCCTCCATTATAAAGAAAAGATACTAGAGGGACACCACAGGTAGGGGTGGGCATATTTCGGTCGGAACCGAATAAACCGACCGAACCGAATTTTTTTTAATTTCGGTTTCGGTTATTCATTTTGTTCGATCGATTTCGGTTTAAAATTTTAAAATTTTGGTTTTTCAGTTCGATTTTCGGTTATTCAGTTTTTTAATTCAGTTAACCGAAAAACCGAATTATTAACATATATGTTCTTTAAGTTATACATAGGCTAAGCCCATAGGTAATAAATCAATACTATTAGGTCCAATCTATCAAAGGCTCAACCCAATTAACTAAGTCCATCAACTTTCCAATCTTAAAGACTTTCAGTCTATTAAAACTTCCATAGCATATGTGATAGATACCGGGAGAATTTCACACAGAGTTGTAATTTACACTATGTTTGAATTTTATGATCCATACAGTGTGCAAAGTTTAGTCTATTTTTTCTATAAACACAATATTTCCAACAATTTCGAAGTTTTGCGAAAAATCAACAAATTCGTCGGTCGTATTATTACATAGAAGGAGTCCAATATGATAATGTTCAAACCGAAAACCGAACCGAAATAATCGAACCGAAATTAGAATAACCGAACTGAACCGAACTTATTTCAGTTTGGTTTCGGTTACTACTTTTACAAAACCGAAAACCGAATAACCGAACAGAATTTTTTCAAACCGAACCGAACCGACCGAATACCCACCCCTAGCCACAGGTCAAACACTCCTATAGGGAGGGTAATGGCATTGCGGGAGCTTTGGCATGTTGTAGATTTTGATAACCCTCCACCCTTTTTATTACCGCGCTTACTTTTGGACTCGCAGGGGATTGTAACTCTACGTTCAGCCCCCTCTTTGTAATCCTTTATTCCCTCTTCAATAAATAAAATGCCTGGTTTTGGTAACCAAAAAAAGATAATATGATGATTAGGTTTTAGTAACCAAAAAAAGATAATATGATGGAATCATCATATTTTGTTTTGTGTATTGTTGATCTTGAGCTATGTGAGGTTTGATGAATAACAACGAAAAGTTCTTGCCAGTTACTGTTGGCCAAGTAAAGGTGAAGTTTAAGGAACTCGGATATGGACCGGGTCTATCTTGTGAAACACAGTTGTGATACATGTGAGATGTACGTGAAGGAGACAAACCTAACTTATCAGAAGTGATATCTCCTCATCATGATCGAAAATATTGCATATTGGATAAGGAGAAAGACTCCTTAAACAAAGAGAACACGGTTTAGGAAAAGGATAGAGTTAGAGTATGAGATCAACTAGAACTCTTCCACCATGGAAGAGTAGCATCGGTATCCTAGTCAATCTCTAATTGCTAACTTCTTAAATATTAATGTTGTTCTCTTTTACAGGTGATGCACATAAGCAGAAGTTAAACATGAATTGAGAGTAAAATAGCAAGGCAATTTTGCAAGCAATTTATATGTGATTCAAGCGTGCAAACCTGAAGCTACTTGAACCAGATAGAAGAATCAGTTCCAAGTGTCTATCTTTTATTCTCGTTCAATTGTAGTAGGTGATTTTACATTGTACCTTTCAAATTATTTAGAAGCAATTGTATTAGGTACTTAGAGTTTTCAAGTTACAGTTAACTTGTAGTTGTCGCAACAGTTGAGGCTGTGTGCCACAACGGGATTAGAGTTTATCCTAGGTTTACAAAAGCATTTTTTGTAAATGCACTTTTTGGCTCAGTGATTTTAGTGGAGAGTTTGAGAAATTCTACTGAAAGGTGGGTTGTGATTTTTTCATCTTTTGAGCCTGGTGTTTTTCACATAAAATATTTATGTTCTTTATTTTCTGTATTTATTATTCTACAACAGTAGCAGTTAGAACTCATAGAAGAACCAGGTCCTTCTATAATCAAGTTAAGCGAAAATTCGGTACCAGACAAATCACCTCCCCCCCTTGTGTGGTATTGAAGTATAAAACATCAATTGGTATCAAAGCAGATTTTCCTTGAAGACGCTAACACCTTAAGAATAGATCAAGATGAGTGCACTACCTGGAAACTGGGAAGGACAATCTACTGCTAGGCCTCCATTCTTTAATGGCCAGTACTATTCTTGGTGGAAGAATAAGATGAGAGACCACATCATCGTATAAGACTATGAACTTTGGGACATTGTTACTGATGGTCCCCTGGCTACCACAAAGAAGAATGCTGAATGAGTAGACGTGTCAAAGAGAAGAGCTGACTGTACTGCTGAAGATTTGGAGAAATGGGAAAAGAATGTCAAGACCAAGAAATGGCTTGTGTGTGGACTAGGTTCAGATGAGTATAGCAGAATTCAAAGATGTACTACTGCTAAGGAGATCTGGGACACTCTATAAGTGGCCCATGAAGGAACTCCTCAAGTAAAGAGATTAAGAGGAACACTGGTGTATTATCTATATGAGAATTTCACCATGAAGGAAGGTGAAACCATCCAAAAGATGTACACAAGGTTCACAACACTAACAAATGAACTTAAGTCTCTTGGACGAATTATCCTTGAAGAAGACAAGGTTGAGAAAATCTTGTCAAGGGTCTTGCCAGTAACTTGGGAAAGCAAAATCACTGCTCTTCTGGAATCAAAGAACATTGCTACTCTCAAGTTGAATGAGTTGATTGGAAATGTCACTGCCTATGGACTGAGAAGGCAAACCATGAAAATGGATGCACCCAAGAAGGAAAGAAGTTTGGCTCTTAGAATAACTGAAGGTGCAAATTTAGCGGATGATGAAATGGATATGATCACAAGGGATTTCAAGAAGTACCTAATGAGAGGAAAGGGTTCTTCAAGAGGTGCAACCTTCAACAAACCAAGGGCCCCTAAAAACAAACTAGCGAAGGCTGCTACAAATGTGGTAAAACTGACCATATGATCAAGAATTGTCCTTAGTGGGAAATTAAATGGAAGAAAGAAAGGGCTAACTGAATAGGAAGAAGGAACAGGTTCAACCCAATAAGAACAAAGGATCAACAAAGGCTATGGTTGCTGCTTAGGGAGAAAGCTCAAATGAGGATTCAGAAGATGAAGTTGGAGATAAAACAACACTTATGGACATTGGAGAATCAGATGATGAACAAGAGGTAAATGTGATTCATCTCAAAGACAAGATTAAATTTTTGTCTAAAGAAAAGCTATCTGAATTACTTCTAGACTTCATTGATGAGTCTAAGGTCATAAACAATGAGAAGGAACATCTGTCTAGGGAATGTGTGATCCTAAAAGCTAAGTGCAAAAATCAGGAACTCAGGGCTAGTGAAAGTGATAGTAAAAATACTGAGTTTAAGAACTAGGTTCTTGAACTTGACACCACTATCTTAGAACTTAGATCTGAAAATTTAAAACTGAAATTAGGAATAGGTACAAAGAAAGTTGATCACACACACCTCACCTTAGAAGAAAATCTAGGAAAAATGAAGGATGAGTTGTACAAGAGATATGAGTAGATAAGAGTCCTAAAAGAAGATTTAGGCAAGGTGAAGCATGAACTAGATAGAACGTGCAAATGGAATAAGTNCGAGTTCCTTTCACTTGAGGACCTAAAATGAGGTAATGTCTCCTTTGGAAATGGTAAGAAAGGTGAGATCATTGGGGTTGGAAAGGTAGGTAAGACAGAATCAGATTCCATTAAGAATGTCTACTTGATAGATGACTTAAAATATAGCCTAATCAGTGTATCACAACTGTGTGACAGAGGTAACCTGGTAGCATTCACCTCTACCAAATGTTTTGTGATTAATCATACCACTCACAAGATTGTTTTGCAGGGAAAAAGAGTTAACAATATTTACATTGTAGATTTTTCTACTCTTTCAGAAAACGAACTCACNGTGCAAATGGAATAAGTATTCTAATGCACTATCCTGGATAACAGAGCATCATAGTAGAAATAAGAGAGGACTTGGTTATGGGACCCCGACACCTAAGTGGGATCACAAAAGCAAGTACATCACACTTCCTGAGAACAAAATCTACACACACTGTGGCAAGACTGGTCATTACAAAAGTGAATACAATGCAAAAGAAAAGGCCAGTCAAAAGAACAAAATCTTTGTTCAAGAGAAAAATAGGCTGCCTGGATGGGCTAAAAAGAATTCAATTCACCCATTTGCCTATAGAAAGGACCCAAACTAGTTTGGGTTCCTAAGACTAACCCCTGATTTCATTTTACATGTCAAAGTGAAGGGAAGTAGCCAAATATGGTACATGGATAGTGGCTTCTCAAAGTATATGACTAGAAGTATGAACGAGTTCCTTTCACTTGAGGACCTAAAATGAGGTAATGTCTCCTTTGGAAATGGTAAGAAAGGTGAGATCATTGGGGTTGGAAAGGTAGGTAAGACAGAATCAGATTCCATTAAGAATGTCTACTTGATAGATGACTTAAAATATAGCCTAATCAGTGTATCACAACTGTGTGACAGAGGTAACCTGGTAGCATTCACCTCTACCAAATGTTTTGTGATTAATCATACCACTCACAAGATTGTTTTGCAGGGAAAAAGAGTTAACAATATTTACATTGTAGATTTTTCTACTCTTTCAGAAAACGAACTCACTTTTTTAAGTGTATTGGACAATGATCCCCTCTTATGGCACACAATACTTGGTCATGCAAGTCTAAATCAACTCAACAAATTAGTCTCCAAGGACCTGGTGATAGGGTTACCTAACATCAAGTTCAAGGAAGACAAAGATTGTGAGGCCTGTGCAAGGGGGAAGCAAGTAAGATCCTCTTTTAAAAGCAAGAAAGCGATAAGCACGACCAGGTCGATGGAACTGGTTCATATGGATCTCTATGGTCTAACGAGAAC